AAATAAAGAAGGCAGGAAAAATTGTTGCTCAGCTCCACAGCCACAGCAGTCCCTCTGCAACAAGGGAGAAAAACTGGCAAGAGGGAACAGAGGGTACTCTACTTATAGCCTAGGGAAGGATCCACCTGCAGCAGACCTCCAACACCCTACAGCAATGCAAAGCAGCTCTGCTTTCCTCTACCTGGGAAGAACCAGTTCTGCTTTTTTAAAAAAGAAAAAAAAAAAAAAAGTCATCTGCAAAGAGGCCCAGCCTTGACCTTATTTATTTCATTATTTTGTCAATGCTTCTAAATGCCACCTATATTACTGAATTAAGCAATGAAAGGAATCATGAGAAGAAAGTTTAAAAGCATGCAGTCCACAACCTTGAGAAATAGAGAATGGAAAAAGACAAAGTAGAAACCCCAGGAATGAAGTTGGACCTGCAGTGAGCTGAGACTGTGCTACTATACTCCAGCCTGAGTGACAGAGCAAGACCCTGTCTTAAAAAAAAAAAAAAAAGAAAAAGAAAGAAAAAACCCAGAACTTTAAAATGGAGTATATAAAAAACAGCAGCCTTCTATCTTCTACGACAATTTGAATTAACTAAGCAAGGTCTTTGGTTTTATGGGATTGGATTTAGGCTGACCCAACCTAATTCTCCCCGACCACCAATGAAACAAGGTTACAGACAGATCATGCCTTGGACAAAATGTACTAGAAGGGGAACTAACTGGTAGAGAGAGCAACCCCATGCATGACCTTGCTTTAGCCAGCAAGATATATGCAAAAAGGGTACAGCTGTACCAGGTACAAAAACAGAACTGGGTCAGCCCCACCCATTTCATTTGATCACAGCCACCCACTCAAGCTAACTTAAGGTCATGGCTCTCCTCGAAAGCATGGGCAAGGCTTTCCTTTCCTTTGCAACAGGGTTCTGCACTATATATTTCAGTGCATGCAAAGAAGCAGAGATGCCTTTGGTGGGTATCTTACTTAGGTCCTTGCTCCCAACTCCCTACCTACCACAGCATTCTGTACATTCCTCTTCAGAGGTACTCCCTACCTACATTCCCACAGCATTCTGTACATGCCTCTTCTGGGAAATTCACACTTAAGGTTTCCAATTTTAAAAATGATATATGCTCACTTTGAACTCATACACATGCACAGAGATGTATATATAGAAATATAAAGGAAAGTTAAAATAACCCTGAGTCCATCATCCAAGGATAAGCATGAGTAACACATTGGTGATTTTAGGGTACCATCATTCCAGGTTCTCACTTATGTGCACAGAAGCCCAGAGTGTGGGAAACACATTTTAATACCAAGGGTTCCGTTACATACCCTGCCTTTCTATAATTTGTTATTCAAACATGTGTCATGGACACCATCCAAGTCAATATAGATTATTAACAAGTACTTTGACATATTCCACCACATAAGTATATAGATGTTTAAGTACTGTTGATACCAGTGAGCATTTATGTTTCATTTAATCTTGCACAATTAACGACTCTGTGTCAAATAACCCACCACACAGATCTCTAAAAGGAATCCCTAGATGTGAAACTGCCAGGTCAAAGTGTATGCATATTTTAAGTTGCAGTGCATGCTGCCAAACTGCCCAGCAGAAAAGCTGTACCAATTATTGCGAGTTTAGGAGGGTGCCTGCTCTCCCACCCAGTGTCAATATTGGGTTTTGTTGACCTTTCTTTAATCCTTATCCATCTAACGGATTAAAAAATGACCTCATTTTTATTTGCATTATTTGAATTCTTCCTCTAGTTAAACATCTTTTATTTATTGGTCCACTGTATGTTTCCCAGCTCCATTCTTCTGCTGTTGTTCAATCATTTTTGTCTTTTGGTGCTGCTTCCTTGCATAAGACAAATATTAACCCTTTATCATAGTTTGCTCAGCTTGCCACTTGTCTTTCAACCTTGCTTAATATCAATTATTTGCTGTATAGAACTTTAAGTCTTTATGTGGACAAACGAAAGCATTTTCTTCCTATGCTGCTAGCCTTTAGGTAAAGATTAGAACATACCAACATCATAAAAGCCATTCTTACTTTTCTTCTAATGTGCCATGGCTGCACTTTTTATACTTATTTGATTTAGCTGGAATTTACTTTGGTTTAAGAAAAGATGCCCTCATCTTTAACTATGATAACAACTATGTGTTATTGACTTGAACATGGCCAGAGGACAGTTAAGATCCAGCCTGAATGAAATGAACTTGTAAACCTTTAATAATATTAAAGTTATCAAAAATGAAATAAAGAAAAGAAATACATATTAAAGCAAAGAAATGAATATGGTGGGTCTCTCAGTACCTGTGAGGAACTGGTTCAGATTCCCCCATGGAAACCAAAATCCAAGGATGCTCAAGTCCTTATATAAAATGGTGTAGTATTTGCATATAACCTACTCACATCTACTCATAAACTTTAAATCATCTCTAGATTACTTAAAATATCGAATACAATGTAAATCCTAGGTAAATAGCTGTATTATTTAGGAAACAGTGACAAGTGTTCACTACAGACACAATTTTTTTTTTTTTTTTTTTTTTTTTGGAGACAGAGTCTTGCTCTGTCGCCCAGGCTGGAGTGCAATGGCGCAATCTCGGCTCACTGCAACCTCCACCTCCTAATTTTAAGGAATTTTCCTGCCTCAGCCTCCCGAGTAGCTGGGATTATAGGTACACACCACCACGCCCAGCTAATTTTTTGTATTTTTACTAAAGATGGAGTTTCATCATGTTGACCAGGCTGGTTTTAAACTCCTGACCTCAAGTGATCCACCTGCCTCAGCCTCCCAAAGTGCTAGGATTACAGGCGTGAGCCACCGCGCCCAGCCAACGAAATGTTTTACAAAATATATATTTTCGGGCCAGGCGCGGTGGCTCACACCTGTAATCCCAGCACTTTGGGAGGCTGAGGTGGGCAGACCACAAGGTCAGGAGTTTGAGACCAACCAGCCTGGCCAGCATGGTGAAACCCCGTCTCTACTAAAAATACAAAAAATTAGCATGTACCTGTAGTCCCAGCTACTCGGGAGGCAAGGCAGGAGAACTGCTTGAACCCAGCAGGTGGAGGCTGCAGTGAGCTGAGATCATGCCACTATATTCCAGCCTGGGCAATAAGGCGAGACTCTGTCTCAGAATATATATATATATAAATATATATATATATATATATATTTTTTTTTAGTATTTTGGTTGGTTGAATTGACATGGTTGGTTGAATTCACAGATGTAGAACCCACAGATACAAAGGGTTGACTGTGCCACGTAAGTTGGGTTAAACTGGATAAGCCTGAAACAGGAGGAAGAAAAGTTAGAAATCAAAGCTCAACTGGATGAAAAACATCAAAAGCCATAGCATATGTTCTGGAAATTCTACATATACGGTCTGGAGAATAAGCAAATAGGAGCAATAGAACAAAGTCTCACCCAAGACTTCCCCGCCATCTGCCAGGTCTCTAAACCCTGATCTTTATCCTGAAAAGCTAGCTTGATTTTTGAGCCAGAAAATCTAAATTCAAGTCTTGGCGTCTTCTACTTACAAGCTGGTTTACCCCGGAAATGGCGCTGACATACTCTGAACTGCCCTGGCTCCTCCATCTGCACAACCTACCTCCTGGCAGGTGAGGGTGCAGAGCTTACCTGACAGTGCTCTGTGAGTTCTAAACCATCACTAGCTCCCCAAGAGGACTTCATGACATCTTCCCATCCCTTATAACAGTCCGGATGGCAGCAGCATAAAAACTGACAATAATTCTTAGTATTAGCTTTTGCTTCAACACAAGGGTATATTGGTTAAGATTCTTAATTTAGCACAAATTAACAAGTCTTGTAGTGACTTCTAACCATGCTTCTATTCTGATTGGAGTGTGCTGGCAGGTTAACCTCAGTATTTGACCCTGGTGCCTCCCAACTCTTGCAAACAATAGACAACTCCAGTGAAAAACTGGGGGCTATCTGTATTTTCCACCTAGAAATCATTTTCCTACCCAGTGATAGACCTATTTGGTACCCACTAAGTCATAACGCTTATAAATAAACTTTCCCTGTGCCTGGATTTTTGACACTGCATAAGGCAACAACAATAAACCTGCATTAAAGAGCTAGCCACAAACCAAATCTGCATGGAACCCTCCACCCAGAAATGTAAGCAGCAGGGTGAAGGCTCCAGCAACAAGCCTTTTTTCATGGATGGCCACAGTTTACTGAGGCAGCTGGGAGCAGGAGTCCAAATTACCTGTCTAGAGCAGTCTTTCATTGTTACCAATGCCAGCTCTCCTCACTGATTTGCATATGGTAATAGAGTTAGCCCTCATCATCCAAAAATTTGGGTTTGCATCTTGGCAAACTAGCACTGGATGCTCTATGTTAAGTCACTTAAACCAGTGGGTCCCATCCAGATCTCCCACTTAACAGGATTACCACAAATCTACTTCAGAGTTTCTTCAAAATCGAGTGAGCTGATAAGCTGGTATGTAAGCTAAGGCACACTATTCCAAAGTGCTATACAAATAGGAGAGATCCTCCCAGTCCTTCAAGGCCTGCCTCAAATTCACTGAGAAGCTGCCTTTCCCCCATAACACCAATAAACACACTCTTCTCTAGGCCCTTCAAGATGCTCCATAGCACTTACCGTCATTTGATAAACTAAACCTATGTGCTTAAATATCACCGTGTCATACAAAGAAAGCTTCCATACAGTTTCTTAACAGCTTTCTACATAAAAGCCTTCTCAATACAAGACGGGGAGCATTAGAACATAACTCCTACTAAATACTGCGACATCTTTCTTTGCAGTACCTCCCCTACCAAAACTGATGCCAAGATACATATTTAATATACTTTGAAAGTCATGCCTCATTGAACTAAAACTTAATTTCCATGCACCCCTAAATTCAATGGCCAAGATGCAACCAGATAAGCCATTACCAAACAGTCCTAGAGAAAGGCTGTTTACAAAAAAAAAAAAAAAAATCATATATTGGTAGGCATACAATTCATGTATATGTATGTTTTAACTGAGCTGAAATATGGCCAAAGACGTCAGAGACCAGCAATCAATCAAATTCTAGCATATTCTGTAAGGCTTTTAAATTCAAGATATGGTCTTCTGAATAGTTGAACTTAAGAGTGTAGGATTCTATAATTCCTAAAAGTCTCTCCACCTTTTCCTATTTCTCACGCCTTATCTAATTGCAATACAGAAAAGTGCACTCCTCAGGGCCTGCACACTTCCCCACTACACATAGAAGCTCAAAACAAGGTAAGGACTGCTTAAGAGTAATTGCCCATGGGTCTCAAAGCAATCCAATGGCACCTTGCCCAAAGTCAGCTTAGGGAGGGGAAACTCCACCAGCATTAAATTGCAAATTGATGGATCATAAAAAATGGTGCTTATGCTGAGGGCTGGCAACCTGATCTTCTGGTTTCTTTGAACCAAGCAGGAAGGCAAGATAAAAACACAGTGGAGTGTTGGTAAGAAGTGTCTGGCAACAGATACAGGGGCAAGAACATGAAAACAAAGCACACAAAGGAAATAAATAGATAACCTCTAAATCCCTTCTGACTAGAAGTTTCTGAATCTGTGAAATGACAACCCTAAAGACAAAAAAAGTAAAATATACATACACTGAAACCTCACCAGCAACCAAACAAAAATGTAAGTTTTGTTGTAAGTAAGGTAGGTCATTCAGAAATAGTTAAGGCAGTTTTTTAAAAAATTAACAAAATCCAATGACGATGCATCCTCAGGGAAACTGGAACAATATACATTACTGATGACATTAAATTACTAGCGCTGTCTTGGAAAGCAACTGGGCAATGTGTTTCAAAAGCATGAAATTATTCAGACCCTTTGGTAAGGCTTCCCACAGCTAAGAATTTATCCTAAGGAAATAGCTCAAATGAAAAGCATTCTGTGCATGAAGCTGTTCACTGCAGCACTAGTTTCAAAGCAAAAAGAAAAAAAGCCATCTAAAAGATGTAACAGCAATTCAACACATCACAACCATCTGCCAAGTTTTCGAAAAAGTTAACATTTGCCCTCCTAATCAATCAGTTGTCTAATACTAGTAGAACAGTTAAATACACTACATACCAACCCACAGGCATGGCAAGTAACCTTTAAAGTCATATTTATGATAATGTTGCTAAAATGGCCAATACATTCACTAGATGATGAGGGGGAGTGGGGAGAAACAAAGAAACTGTGGTTTAAACAAAAAAAAGAATCATTAGGAACTTGGCCCAGCACCGTTAAGTTGATATCCAAAATAAAAACAGTGATTATGCTGAGGTGGTAGGGTTATTAGTGACACCTTTTTTTCTACCTCCAGTGATTTGGAATCATTGCCCTTGATTTACTGTTTAAACGGTTTTTTTTTTTTTTTTTAATTTATTTTTTCTTTTGAGACAGGGTATCACCATGTTGCCCAGGTTGCACAATCTCAGCTCACTGCAACCTCCGCCTCCGGGGCTTAAGTGATTCTCATGCCTCAGCCTCCACAGTAGCTGGGACTACAGACATGTACCACCACATGGGGCTAATTTTTGTATTTTTAGCAAAGACGGGGTTTCACCATGTTGGCCAGGCTGGTCTCGAACTCCTCATCTCAGGTGATACACATGCCTCAGCCTCCCAAAGTGCTGTGATTACAGGAACAAGCCACTGCACCTGGCCAATTTACTGTTTAAATTTAATATTACATCGGGAAGGGAGCCATCTAGCCCACCACGTTTGTGATCAACAGTGGCACTGACACACAACAATGCTGGCAAACCTGGAACCATTTGGGTACGCAGCCCTCTTACAATCCTCAAATCACACGTGGAGAAACAGGAGTCTAAAGCAAATGATTTGCCCAAGATCATAAAGCACGATTTGAAGCCGCATAATCCCTGCCTAGTACTTTCTCCAGAAAGCAGAGGTAGGGAAGTGGGAGATACTCACGACAAGAAACAGCTGATGAACTCGGCCCTGTCTGCAAAGCAATGCAGCTGCTGAAAAGCCATACAGCCCAAACACGGCTACAGCAGCACAAGGCCAAGGCTGCCTCATCCCTCGGCCAACAAAGGGACTACAGACAATGCTTCTCATCTGTCAGTGACAGGGTCACCGTGCCCTTGCTACCCTAGCAGAGGTCTCTGCACAGAACAGACATTTTATAAGGGACCTCAATTATAAATTGCAAACCTTAAGTAAATGAGTCACAGCCAAACCCCACTTCAGTATTCTCCTTCACAGTCAGAAAGAATGATGCATCAACCCTAACATGAGACCATCTGGTCCACCAGTAGAGCAAAATCCACCCACATCTCTAATTCCTGAAGATGACATCAGATATACCTGAAGAAAATGAGGAGCCAGGCATGGTGGCTCATGCCTGTAATTCCAACATTTTGGGCAGGACGGATCACTTGAGGCCAGGAGTTTGAGACCAGCCTGGGGAACACAGCAAGACACTGCCTCTACCAAAAAATTTTAAATTAGGGATGCATGCATAAAAACTGTGTACCAAAAATTATACACACAAAACACTGCAAATAATCTTCCAATATTCCCTTTCCCTTCAAAGAGGAAGAGTTCTCTTGCCAAGAGGCCTCCTTCAGGATATCTGTTACTCACAGTCTTAACTATCTCTCCCATCACAGTGCTTTGCTCACCAATAGCTCATGAACAGGTAAATTCATGTTAAAATCTAATGTGTCTGAGTAGCTTTTGTTTAAAATAGAATTACACCAATAAAATGACTAATCATGACAGGCACGGTAGCTCACACCTGTAATCCCCACACTTAGGAAGGCCGGGGCAGGTGGATCACGAGGTCAGGAGGTGAGACCAGCCTGGTGAAGATGGTGAAACCCTGTCTCTACTAAAAACACAAAAATTAGCTGGATGCAGTGGCAGGAGCCTGTAATTCCAGCTACTCAGGAGGCCGAGGCAGGAGAATCGCCTGAACCCAGGAGGCAGAGCTTGCAGTGAACCAAGATGGCACCACTGCACTCCAGCATGGGCAACAGGGCAAGACTTCCGGGGGGAGGGGGGGGCGGTAATTAATCACATTTTGGGAAAATCTAAATTAAAAGAATGTGGGGTGACCGGCCACAGTGGCTCACGCCTATAATCCCAGCACTTTGGGGGGCCGAGGCAGGAGCCTCCCTTGAGCCCAGGTGTTTAAGATCAGCCTGGGCAACACAGGGAAACCCTGTCTCTAAGGGTGAAAAAAAAAGCCAGGCATGGTGGCTTACACCTTTAATCCCAGCACTTTGGGAGGCCGAAGTGGGTGGATCACAAGGTCAGACGTTCGAGACTAGTCTGGCCATCACAGTGAAAGCCCATCTCTGCTAAAAATACAAAAAATTAGCCAGGTGTGGTGGTGTGCACCTGTAATCCCAGCTACTCGGAGGCTGAGAAAGGAGAATCGTGTGAACCTGGAAGGTGGAGTTTGCAGTAAGCCGAGATTGAGCCATTGCACTGCCACATGGGCAACAGTGCCAGACTCCATCTTAAAAAAAATAAAAAGTGAGGTACCTTTAAGTTGACGTTTTATGGTTAGTGAGGTTATCAGTGGTTCTCCAACTCTGGTGTGCCCTAGGATGGCCTTGGGCTTGTTAATACACAGATGAGTAGGCCCACCCACAGAGTTCCTGTTGGAGGAGGTCTAGGCCTGACAATATTCATTTCTAACCAGTTCCCAGGTGACCCTGAGGCTCCTGGACTGGGGATCACACTTCGAAAAGTACTGCCATCTATGTCAGCAGCATCCACTGCTTGGCCTCTGCCAGGCGCTCTGACATCCTCTCATCTTCATGTGGATACCAGGTCCCCTCGGAGAATAGACTAAAAGATTAAAATAACTTGCCTAACGTCAGAACAAGACAGTGGAGAGGTCAGGCTTGCCTCTCTCCAGAGCCTTGCGGCAACATGCGGGCTCCTTCTCACAAATTTTTACAAAACACTGAGGCAAGAACACAAACCGGGAGTGTAGGAACACATTTGCCTTCTGCGGAAAACCTCACACAATATTCATTTAAGTTATTCCACCCATGGCAATGTAATCTCGCCCCTTCTTCAAGCCTGTGATTAAAACAAAACAAAGAGTACCAGATGACAGAAACCCTTTAGTGGCTCAACTAATCAGAACACAAGTCACCAATTACTGGCAGATAATAACTTTTATGTTCCATCTCCCCCTCACTTGGCAGCTCCTGCAGCATTCTAAATCTGAGCTCTCTCCAACTGGGCCCAGATACTATCCTTTCACTGCTCATCTTTCACACTCGAAGCTTCTCTGAAAACAAGGAGGGGTTAAAAGAAAGGAAGGGAAAAAAAAAAACGTGCTGAAGGCTGCTCGGGCAGAGATAGCAACACTAATTGCTCCCATTCTCTAGCTCCTCGTGAGGCAGATTGCAGGGGCCTGCATCTCCGGAGAAAGCTCTCCCCTATCTTCGCAGCAGCTCTCAGCAGAGCAACTCAAGTGCCCTTAATTGTTTATGTTCTTAATGCAGAGCCTCTTGAATGCATTCATTTTTAATAGCAGGCTTGAGTGTGGGGCCCATCAAAGAATGACAAAGCAACTCTATTCATTGGTTCTCCTTCCTGCAATGATGGTCTTTTGATTTATTTGCAAATGACAAGCTTGCCAGGCCCCACTTGAGGGCTGCCCTCATTTTTTTTTTTTTTTTTTTTAAGAATTCAGTCACATTTTCCAAGATGAAGTTGAGTCTGCAATGCTGTTTGTGTAAATTTTTCCCCCTTCAGTTCCTTCTAATTAATGACTTAAATGTTTTGACCCAACTGTTGCCAAGCAGAGCACTTGGGCTTTAATTTGTCATTTTGGTAAAGATGAATCTTTGACAAAAGCATCACAGCTGTTTTCGTTCCTAAATAGCACGTTTCCATTATTCAGAAACCCTTGTTATGGAGAAAGGGCCTGTTCACAGGAAATTGTATTGACTTGTCCCAGGATGGAAAAAGGACAGCTTTTGGTGGCCTTAAAGGAAAATGCACTCTGTGGTAGAGAAAGGTTTTCAAGACAAACTCTGCAGAGTGAATCACAGATCTTCACCATGAAGTCATCACCCATTCTCCTGTGAAAAGAAAGCAGGCCTCTCCCTGGGCCACACCCCAAGCAAGCCTACACCTTTAACCCTCTTCACAGATCTTAGTCATTAGAGAGCTCCTAATAAATTAGATAATGCCACACAATAGCAGGATTAGTAGGAGGAAAAGCAGACTACTACATCATCATCA